GTTGACCGAATTAATCATTTCATTTAACATAGCAATCAGGGGTGGGATGTTGCCATTTTCGGTCAATTTACTTGACCGAAATGTATACTCCATTTTTCTCGGATTTTGCCTATTTCGGTCAAGTGTATTGACCGAAATAGGTAGTTAAATCTCCAATGTTTCTGCTTTTGTTAAGTCTTATTTTTTTACTTAATTTGTTTAAAACTTTATTAGATAAAATTTTTAACAATTATAAGGCTCTATATTCAATTCTAAGCATATATTAAAACATATAATTGAAATACATAAATATAAAAAATAACTTAATATTATAATTAAAATATCATGACATAAAATACTAATTAAAGTGCTATGTCCGATCATAATCTTATACATGAATAAGGCAAATTAGAAAATATATGACAAAATATAGGTAAGTTTGGTAAAGAAACTATAGTAGTTCTTCATCAATGGAACGTAATTTTTCGCGTGCCGCATCCCATGTTTTTTTTGAAAATGTTAGACGCAAGCGACCATTACCTAAGATTTTGGTAACAGTTTCAGAGGACTCAGCAGGTGTTTTGGATGAGTTTGACATGATTTCTGATCGGTAACAATTTGGGCAAACCTTTGCAAGATGACCCTCACGGTTACACAATTGACAAGTTACTGCATATCGATGCGGGCATATGGTTGCTAAATGTCCAGGAATATCACATATTTGGCAAATAATGTTGTCTTCATTTTTAGGCAATGGAATGTCTTGAGGCATTGCTATATGATTCCTTGCGTTTATCAACTTCTTCCTCGGAGAACTTCGAGATGGACAATCCCATAATGCTTCAGGAGTATCTTCAACAATTCCTATGTAAATTAACATTAAATTAATTAATTTGTTAGTAAATGGTATGCAGCAACATGAATAATAAAATTATGGAAGGGAAAAGGAAAAAGAAATTATACCATTATATTGGCTATCAAAGTATAGTTGACTATCCATTTGACTGTCAAAATATGGCTGACTGTCTATTTGATTGTCAAAGTATGGCTGACTGTCTATTTGATTGTCAAAATATGGTTGACTGTCCATCTGGCTATCAAAGCAGTCTTGACTATCCATTTTGCTCTAAAAGTAATGTTAACTGTACATTTGGCACATAGTAATTTTATAATAAATTAATTAAAAATTATGATGATACTTATTTATCATTCAAGTAAATAATTATAGGCACTGAAAATTTTTAATTGATTAAGTTATTAAATTGATCATAATTTACTTACCAATTAAATATATAATTATGAATTATTAATCAATCAATTATAATTATCCTTTTTTAGCAATCAAATAATTTAATAAATTGTAGTTTACTTCACAATAAAATACTATAATCACTACATACTTGAATCAATCAATTAATGACTAATTAAAAGTCATCAATCAATTGCATAATAAATCATTATTTCATGAAAATGAATTTGATTTATTTAATCATGCATTACCAACTACTAATCATAAATTTTTTTATTTTTTCCTAAACTAAAGTTCTAACAAAAAATTTAAAGGAAAAAATTTATATATCTACTCTAATGTAGTTTGTCATGGTTTTATTTCATAAAAATGAAGGAGAAATTACTTATTTGAGTGGGATAGATACACTGGAAACAACAAATTTATACCACAATTCTTAAGTCTAAATAAAATCAATTAATCACTCACAAATATGTAAAAACCATAACAATGAAAATGAAAATTATGATACAATAACAAATAAGACATTTAAATTAGTAAAAATCTTGTGATTTTTAATAATTTATGTTTTTTTTTTAAAAAAAAAAACATAAAATTTAACTAACATCAACCCAAATTAACAAGATAGAATAATAGATCAAGACACAAAGTAGTGAAACACAATTGATTAATCTATCATAATTGTATTTAAACTTAAATTGATGGCAAAAATTAATTAAAAAAATTATCAATTAAAAGAGCGAAAAATGAAAAAAATGAGGAAGATTGTAGTACTCATACCTTTCTTAACTCAAAATTCCTAAAAACAACTAAATTGACGCCACGGCAAGTAGCAGAAACTCTTAATCAGTCTTTGGTTTCACCCAAAGAATTCTTGAAAAACTGTAAAAGAAATTGCATAAACACGAACAAATGAAGTTTGTGAGAAAGTTGAAAGTATATACTTATCTCAATTACAAAAAAAATCAGAAATGTATTAGAAAGAGGGGAATCTGATTTCAAATCTATAAATCACCATCATCACAGAACTGAAAATTTTCGGTAAATCAGAACTTTTGACCAAAACAGTTGGTGAAAAAAAATTTACCAATTATTTCGGTCAACTAAATTGACCAAAACAATAAAACTGATATCCGTACCCCTGTCTGCCAGACCGGTGTAGACTTTTCAAGCAATTTATTCGGTCAATCCCATTGACCAAAATAATATTGCCAATAATTGGCCTGCAATTATTGGTCCTTTTATTTCGGTCACTACAATTGACCAAAATAATTAACCCATTGTTTCTTCAGCCCAGGGGCGTTGGTGGCACTGTGACATATTATTTCAGTCAAGAAAATTGACCGAACTAAATGGACATTGTGTGCTCCCCCGGATTTGTGAAACAGGGGTCGGCTCTGGCAACTTAATTCGGTCAAGGTGCTTGACCGAAATAAATAACATGGTCTCCTCCCCGAATTTGTGAAATAGTGATCAGCTCTGCCAACTTAATTCGGTCAAGGCACTTGACCGAAATATATGACATGGTGTCCTCCCCCCTGAGCTGTGCAATGGTGATGGTTCGGTTGCAGTGCCAACATATTTCGGTCAATGAAATTGACCGAAATAGTTTCACTAGTTTTTCAACTAAAATGACCGACCTATTTCATTGATTTTTCCACTATTTCTTCTCACAATTTGACCAAATAATTATTATGACAAATAATTTAATTTGTTTGTTTCAAATAGGTTAATCTATCCTCGTATTGTTATTATATTTCTTACTTTTTGACGTTTCCTTTTTTTGAGTTAATTTGTTTCAAACATTTTTATCTAAATTACATAAATAACTTAATTAAAAACTATACCAAATAATTACCCATATGTTTTAAATGTAAATTAAAATATAGAGTTGAAAACTTTATCTAAAAACACATAATTATAAAACATAACCTAATATCATAATTAAAGTGTTTTAATCTAAAATACTAACTAATTACAACACTATGCCCCTATCTCATACATGTCCATTTCATATATAATAATAGAATATGTTCTGATATAAAGATCAACTGAGTGAAAACAATGCCAATTATGCTCCCCCACTTGTCCCAGCCCCTCCATCTCCTTGCATCCATCCCTACATCCCTCCCTCCATCCATCCCTGCATCCCTCCAGGCATTCCTCCTTCCATTCCTCCTTGCATCCCTCCCTGCATCCCTCCTTGCATCCCTCCCTGCATCCCTCCCTGCATCCCTCCCTGCATCATAAAAAACATTCTCTCCATCCTCTCAACCTTCTCTTGTAATGTCAGTTGATTATCGTGTAATTCTGTTACAGTCTATTGCAATTGGACCACCCGTTGGGATGATTGAACAGAATTATCAGGTATGGTATGCGGTGGACGCTTGCGATGTGAGACTCCTTGCTCCTCAGGATCCATGTATATAGGCATGCCATAAAGTCGCCCATCTTTTGAAGGTCCACCTGAAACTTGGGACAAGAGCTGGGCGTCAACTGTTGTTGGCCATGTAGTTGTATCCTCTCCATATTTCAGAATGGCCTCTGCATTTAATCTTTCCTGCAATATATCATATAATATACTATATCATTTAAATTTTGTATTTTCCCCATGTACACAAAATATATATAAAAATACAATCAACCACTAACAATGTTTAAACCAAAATAAGAAATTATCAAAAAAATTACTTAATCTTCAATATTGACTCAATATAATTATCAATACCATATTATAAGTATTTAAATTTTCACAATTCATTATAAATTTATAAAAAATTCAACAAAGTTTCCCCTAAATTTTGTATTTTCCCCCTGTATACAAAAAATATATAAAAATACAATCAACCACTAACAATGTTTAAACCAAAATAAGAAACTATCAAAAAAATTACTTAATCTTCAATATTGACTCAATATAATTATCAATACCATATTATAATTATTTAAATTTCCACAATTCCTTATAAACTAGAAAGAATACTTACAGTATACTCTTGAGCCTGCTCATCAATATATGTTGGCATTTTATCTTTTTCCTTTGGATGGTGCATTTTTTTGGCACGGATCACATCAACAAATGATGGATCCCTATGTTCTGGATCCTTTTCCTTCTGCAAGATCACATATTTAATTATTGTGTTACTTCACACAAACATTATAATTAACAATAAGATTATTATAATCAAAATGGGATGGAATCTAACACTTATATGTAAATCTTTTACCAATTTTCTCACAAAGTCATCGTAATCCATAGATCCACCCGTGTGGGTTACCCTAGGGCCCTTTGCTCGATTTGCCTTGCCTCGCTCTCTGCGCGCATTGAACTGAGGGTCCTCCATCCATTTGTACTTGAACTTCTCCCAAACTTCATCAGACATGTATAGTTTTTTTTCAGTAAAATTGTTCTTTCTGCATGAGGTTTGAATATCAGTCATCATTCGGTTATATCTTTTTCGATAAACTCGTAGAAATGCTGTATGAACAGCATCCTCATGAGCAGGGTCCCACTCATATTTGTTCTGAAAAATGAAAAAATATTGGTATCATATATTCATGTATTACGCTCACGCACATAAAAAATTGCACATATATAAATAGAAACATATTGCAATTTATTAAATAAAACTACAAACCCGAAAATCTTGCCAATACACATCCTTGTGCTCACGTGATATTGAGGCCCAACCTGTATATGCATCTCGTATATTGGACTTAAGAATTATTGAAATATCCTTTCGGACTTGTTTAGGTAATATTTTTCCATTCCAATTCCCTATGCTCAGCTTCTGGGTTGGATCCTCTGGCATTTTTTGCCCTTTAGCAATACCTCGCCCCTTTTTGGGTTGAGGAGGCGATGGTGCACTTGAATCAGTGTCACCATCATCATTACTTGTGTCCATCGGAGACTCTTGGACAATAGTATTGGAAGATCCAGTTGCTTGTGATTGAGTTTTTCTGGTTGGCCTTTGGGTGGCAACGTTAACAGCCTTGTCACCCCTACATGATCTAGGTAAGCAATTCACTGCAACAAAAATACGAAATAATACTACATTAGTATATAAATAAAAAGATGTATAAGATTTAAGCTTTAAATAAAAATAAATCAAACATGAAATTTAAAGACAATATCTAACCACAATAATAATAACCAAATTAATTTCTCCGTTATATCAATCAACAATATATATCAGCCACTGTGTTATAAAATACCACACACATACACTACTCAATAATAAAAAGTATCTATGTATTACTAATTAATTAATCACTACTATCACTCTCAGATATATATTCAATATTATCTTCCTCAGATGTAGAATAATCTTCAAATTCGTCCTCTTCCTCCTCATCCTCTTCCTCATATTCTCTATCATCATTCATAGACTCAAACTCAACATTAATGGTAGATGCAGTCCCATCAGTATGCTGAATAGGTTGATACAATATCAAATCGGTTTCAGTCGGCTGGGGAGGTAGAGGGTCATCATCTTGAAAAATGGGTTCTGACTCATCGTGTTGGTCTTCTTGCTCAGTTGGCATCTCAATAATGCTTCTTGCCCTACATTTCAATGCAGCAAGCCATCCCTTCCTATTAGAATTATGTGATGGATATGGAGTGTAATACACTTGTTTAGCTTGACTAGCCAAGATGAAAGGCTCATAAGTTCTCAGTTTCCGATTTGGATTAATATCAACAAGACGATGTTTTCGGTCAACTACAATTCCTCGTGCAGGAGGAATTTCGTACCAGTCACATTTAAATAGAACAACCGTCTGTCGATGTCTGGAGCCAACATATTGAAGCTCAATCACTTCCTGCAATAACCCATAAAAATCCAAATCTGATTCTGTTCCGGTGGTTCCCGTGATACACACACCGCTATTCATTGTTCTCTTATTTCTTCCATATGAGGCCGTGTGAAATCGAAAACCGTTTACCAAATAGCCTTTATAGCATGAAACCATCCAAGATGGGCCATGAGCCAAACAAATCAAATGCTCATCAATGCCATCAAACTCATCATGTAAAACCTAAATCACATAATTAAATTATTAGTTATAAGTATATAATAATTAATTAATAATAACTAAAATAATTGAATAAACTTACCGATTTTTGAAACCATGATACAAGATATTTGGAACGTTTCATCTGTATTTGTTGGGGAGTCATATTTTGACATTTTTCCTCTTCAAAAACCCTAATCAAGCATCAAGCAGTCATTATAGTTATGTGTAAATTAAAATAGATTATTTTCTTTC